TGATATTGAGGTGAGTTTTGTATGTTTTTCGACTTTATTGCACTGCATAGTGGAACAGTCAAAACACAAACATGACAATTGCTCTCGCCGCCCGCAACAGGCAGGGGGGGCATGGTGAACACACAGCGGAGTGAGCAGACTTTTTCAGTGGCTCATCTTTGGCGCTGGGTGCAGATTTCCTCCTCTGAGACACAGCATCAGGAATGCGGCTTTGATTCCGGTGCCGGTGGCCTGCCGTCTCTGTCAGGGCGGGGTCTCTGGCCCTTCGAGCCCTGACAGCGCTTCGGCCAAGGCTGTCTTGGTTTCATCATGTTCGCGCCGAACAGCAGCAGAAGAGGCGTGTGGTCTTCCCGCGTGCTGCGCTGAGGAGGAGGGGGAACGCGCAGGAAGGTTTGCGCCGGCGTGCTTTGGCAGGAAGTGGCTAATAGCCTTCGACTGTTTCTGCGCTTCAACAAAACGCTCCGTGAACGTCTCTACCGCTGCTCCGAAGAGACCTGACGGATTCATGGGAGCATCCAGAAGGGCCGTTTTTTCCAAGTCCTTTAACTCGGTCAGAGTAAGCCAGAGATGACGATCTAGCACCACAAGATTCCCCATGTTGCGGCCGATTGTTCGAGCGGTCACCTTCGTTGCTCTGAGGGCCAGATCCGTGGCGCGTCGGAGCTCTTTGAACACTTTAGGGTCCGGCCCGTCCTCATCCAGAGACTTGAGAAGCTTGGCCTGATACACCTGGAGTATCGCCATCACGTGCAGTGCTGAAGCTGCTTGGCCCGCCGAAGGTTTAGAGGGGGAAAGACACGTTGTTTCTCACTCTCCAGTTCGCCGCGGCTGAAGGACAGAGATGGGCAGCGACGGCTTCTTCCACAGGAGGGAGTTTAAGATACCTTTGAGGTAATGAGGTCTAATGACTCTTCTTCCAGACTTTGTTGTAGTAACCACAGGAGTGTCTTTACTTGATTTTAAGCCTGTCACTTTGACTCTGAATTCCTCAGTTGGCTGTTTGATCTGTAATTTCTTCACTCCTGTGGCCCTGTAGTTCCTGAGGTGTCGCCGATTCCTCCTTAGATTGTTCCCTGAATCTAGCTGGACGGCATAAGATCTGTAGTCCACATGTTTCACAACTGTGCCTTTTCTCCAAGTACCCTTAGGCTCCATTGGCTGGGCACGAACTCGGTCTCCTTGTTTTAAGGTATGTAGATCCTTTGCATGTCTGTTGTAGTATGTAGCTTGACGGTTTCTGCTTTCCATCTGCTCCTGTCTAGTTTGTACTATTTTTGGTTTTAACAGGTTATCATGCTGGTCAGTGCCGTCCACAGAAGACAGGAGGGAGGATCCCCAGTTGTGCATTCGACTGGTGAGCGGCGCGTTCCATGACTTCGTTATCTCATCGTGCACCTCGGGGAAAAAGGGTCCGGGCCTCTGCGGGGTGTCCTTTCGGCCGCGATCCGACTGGAGGTACCACTCGTCCAGACGGCTTCTGGCAAGCTCGGCAGGAGGCGCA